CCCGTCTGTTCTGTACCTGCTCAGGCACTACCTGGTGTTGGAGCAGGCATAGCCAGACAAGAGGCATCTGAAGAGCACAGGGAAGCTGAGATGGGAAGGAGAAAGATGCTTCTAGCCCCTTCTCCCTGGGTTAGATGATGAAACTGCTGTTTTCCCCCACCAGGCCTGAAGAGGAGAGAACAAGGCTCCTGCAGGGCACGGGCATCCCAGAAGCTGTGGACAAGGACCTGGCTAACATTCACCTGGAGTATCGCTCCATCATCCTGCCCTTCATGGAGTCCCACCCCGACATCTTCGACCCCAGGCTGCACACGCTGGAGTTGTACAAGCAGCTGGTGGCTTTTGTCATGGCCTACAGGTGAGGAGTGACGGCTTTGCTCTGACAAGGAGCCCTTGCTCCCACAGGCAGTGGGATCGCCAAGGAACGATTACAGGCTGCATTGCTTAAGAGGCTGCAGTTGCACGAGAATGTTCAGTATAAGCTGAAGCTTGCCCTGTGCTACAAGGTGTAAAACTGGCTCTTTGTGCATCTCCCTTCTTAGCTTTCAGGAACCTTTGGAGGAGGAAGACGAAGATGAGAAAGGGCCCAATCCTCCAATGATGGTGCCTGTAGCAGATATTTTGAATCACGTGGCCAACCACAATGCCAACCTGGAATACGCTCCCGTGAGTGCAACGCTGCTGTGCCAGGCACCACCACGGTGTGGTTCCTCTTTGCTGCAAGGCCTTTGGGAGTGGTGGGGCTGGCTGAGCCCAGAGCAGCACTGCTCGTCTGCCAGGGCAGCAAGTTTGGCCTAGATCTCATTAAAATGAAGCTATTTTGCCAAACATACCCTCTGCTGCATGCCTGGCTTGAACTTGGAAGCGCTCAGGAGCCTCTCTGAAACACCTTGTTTCTGAGCAGCAGGATCTGAGAGCCTCTTCTCTGCCTGCTTGCAGCACTGTTTACGCATGGTTACAACACAGCCCATCAGCAAAGGACAGGAGATCTTCAACACCTACGGGCAGATGGCCAACTGGCAGCTCCTCCACATGTACGGCTTTGCGGAGCCGTACCCTGGCAACACCAACGACACGGCCGACATCCAGATGGTGACAGTCCGCAGGGCAGCGCTGCAGCGTGAGTGGCACCCGTAGCCACGCTGGGAAAGGATGGGGCGGGGATCTCTTCAATAGCAGAGAGTGAAGCAGGGATCAAGGGTGACACGAGAACTAAGCCTGGTCCGTAGCACTTCAGGTGCTGGGGCTGTGCCTCTGTTTTCTGCCTCCTGTTTCCCTGTCTCCACTCACCAGCTCCTCCCTGCAACCCAAGTCTGCAGCTCTGCTGTCTTCAACAGGTGCCAGAAGCGAAGCGCAGCAGCAGCTGGTCTCAGAGCAGTGGGACTTCTTGTGCCAGCTGGAGATGGTGGGGGAGGAAGGCGCCTTTGTGCTTGGCTGGGATGAGGTGCTGACAGAGGAAGAGCTGTCCATGACCCTGAAGGTAAGCGCTGCCAGGTGGTGGAAGAGCTACACAAGGAGGAGCACAGACTAAAGCATCCTGCAGCTTGCAAATGGCTCAGTGAAGGGGGGCAAGCACGTAAAGGCATTTTGGTACTAATGCTCCTGCACGAAAAGCAGTAAGTGCTGTGGATGCCCAGCTCCCTGGGTTCAGGTGCTGCCACTGTTGTCTTCCTCTGAGTTCACCACCCATGCACGTATACTTATGAACTGGCCTTGAGTTGTTCCAGGGCTGCTGCTGTTCTCCAGAGCTTTGCACCTTTGTAGGTCGCAGCTGAGCCGTCCTTTAAGGCTGTTCCCAGCACCCAGGTTTGCTGTTCACATGTTCTTCTAACCCATAAGTTATAGTTTTACTCTCACCTTTTGTGCAGCTGAGGAATAATTCACTTGCTCCAAGTGGCCCTAAGACCACACTTCTCCAGAGGAGAAGGCCTGATGTACTCGCACTGCCAGTGACTTGTTTGTGCCATTACAGGTGCTGTGCATGTCAGAGGAAGAATTCAAGGAGTATAAGGAACAAGATGGCTGGGAAGATGACAGTGAGGAAGAGGAAAACTCTGTCCTTTCCAATGAGGCTCTCTCCAGACTGAAAACCCCTTGCAAGAAGCTCCTTTATGACAGCGTGCTGCTGACCCTGGAGTCCTATGGGTCAGACTTAAAAGCAGAGCAGGACTTGCTAAATAACAAGGGGGCTTATGAGAAACTGAGTCGAAGGGAGCAGCAAGCTTTGCATGTGCGCTACGGACAGAAAAGGATCTTGCATCAGCTGCTGGAGCTGGTACGCTAAAAACCTCGCTGCCGCTGGCAATGAACTGCTGGAACTGCTCAGAAGGGAAGGTTCAGCCTCTGGCCATCTCTTCTACAGCTGTGAGAACACACAGCAAGATTAAACGTGGACCCACTCGTCCCTCAAAGGGCATGTGGCTTTTTAGCTACCTCTACATAAACAAAGTAGCTTCCACAGCACAGAAGTGGTTTTGGGTGGCCTTGTCTCACAGTGAGGGCTCTGGAGCACAGCTACCACCTTCTTCCAGAGGGCTTAACACCCAGATCTCCTAATGGCTGCTTTAGGAAGGCAGATGTCCGCTGCCAGAGCATTAAGTGGGTTCCCTCATTTAGCACCAGAAATTTCAGGCAAGAACTGCTCCCTGTCCAGATGAGAGGGCTAAAATCCAGCTGGTGGCTCTTACACAGAGGTTCAGAGTAAGCGTTTCCACCTGCCAGATGCCAACACACTGAACTCGTCACCTGTACTTTTGCATTTTGAAGAGTACAAGCCCATCCATCTGGTTTTCACGTAGGCTCAGTACAGCAAGATAGTTACTTTCCCCCCCTCTATAAAAGGCATTTCTGTATGGGCTTGTCTGGCTATAAAGGAGCAGTGTTGGTTGTGCAGCTGCTGTAGGCCAAGCACTCAGCACACCCTCTCCAGTTGATAGTTTTTCCCTGAACTCAGGCATTGCCCTGCATCACATTTAGCTATATCAGTATTTTTCCCTCAGCAGCTTTTGCATGACAAAACATGGGAGGTTTGCAGGGCAAGCTGTATTTAATAAAGGTGTTTCTTATCCAGCCAATGCCGTCTGCTTCAGTAGGGTGCAAGGCCCCATCTAAAATGAGGTGGATCTTTGCTGCTGCAGTTCAAGTACTGCAAAACAAGCAAAACCCAGACCGTACTCACGTATATGAAGGTCAGCTACACCCTACCTGCACTGCTGAGGGCCAGGGCGGTTTAACAGCACCCTACAGTAGTGTATTTTTAATTCCCCTTTCATAGTGGAGTAATGCAGTGGGTGTTTAGAGTCCAGCCTGCCTCTTGCCTCTTCCTACAGCAGACTGGATGGCTCACAGTGGCTCTGAGGGTTAGTCTTAATTTCTTAAATACGATGTGACTTATACCCAGGGCTTGTGCTGGCAAGGACACTGGCAATCCCTGGGGAGCTGACACCAGTGCTGTTTACTTTGACAGTACCAGTTCCAGGTTCCTTACCTGCCAAGAAAGGATATGAAGTGCAGTGGCCTCCATCCTACCAGCCCAACTCGTGTTACTGGGATCTTGGCCGAGTCCTGTCCACCTTCCACACCCTCTTTACACCAGCCTAACAGGAACCAGCCATGTACAGCAGCATTAGTACAGAACCAGAGAGACCTTTGAGCTTTGAGTCACTAGGACAAGTCAGTACCTTCTGCATATGGTTTGACAGAGTTCAGTGGCAGAAAAATCCCATGGCACATGGACTAGATAAAAACAACTGGTTGCTGATAATTCTCCATGTCCTAACCCAATACAGGAAGAAGAAGAAACTCGAGTTGCAACACTAGAACAACAAAAAATTATCACCCAACTTCAAAAGGCTCCATTTTAGCACAACTACTGATCTGCCAAGCAAATGCCAGGGAACTGTAGGAACTGGCAAAAGAGGCAGCTCCTTTAACACAGGCCACTGAAAAAACACAGCTCAGAGACAGGGCACAGATGGAGAATTCCCTCTGGGCTGCAGTCCACTGGCACAGTTGGCTCAGTGGTCCCTCAGAGCCAGCTTTTGCTCTGTGCTGCAAGGTGCAGCCAGGCGCACCATCTCTTAAACCTTAGCAGGAAACTCTCTCAAACCTCAGCAG